AAGTGTACTTTAAATATCGTGCTTTTAGTGGATTTAGGCAAATTCTCAACTCGAGAAGTGCCTCGCAGTTTAGGGTTGTTTGCCCAAACTGCGTTATAAATTAATTGTGTCACAACGCCACAGAATCCATCATCTATATTAATTTCAATTGGTATCAGAGCAGGTCTACTCAAGTTATTAGCAGGATCCAAATGGAGTTCCCAAGAGAAGGTCTTTCAAACAATAGACCACCGGCTCTACTTGGCACAAACTTCTCCTACTGGAAAGCTCGAATGCAGATATATATTCTAGCACAAGGAGAAGGCGTCTGGAATGCAATAGAAAACGAATGGAAAACTCCAGTCGATGACAAAGGAAATACAAAACCTAGAGTTGATTGGAGTGAAGAAGAAAGAACTGAATATGACTTTAACTCAAAAGCTATGAATGCAATATATGGAGCGATAAGAGAAGACACATTTAAGCTAATCGCATCAACTCGCATAGCCAAAATTGCATGGGATATATTGTGCGATCATCATGAAGGAAACACAACTGTAAGACAATCTAAGCTTCAGATGATACAAACTGAGTTTGAAAACCTGAAAATGGAAGAGGAAGAAAACATCACCCAATTCAGTGCCAGAGTTTTAAGCATATCCGGAGATGCATTCAACCTAGGCGAACCTATACCCGAACATAGGATCGTCAAAAAGGTACTACGTTCACTACCTGGGAGATTCCAAATGAAGGTCACCGCTATCCAAGAAAATAAAGATCTGAACACGTACAAACTTAGTGACCTAATAGGAAATCTTCAAACCTATGAACTTGAGATGTTACAAAGCCAGAAAAACAATGGTAAAGGAATAGCACTGCAATCCAGACAAGAAGAGAACTCAGAAACTGATTCAGAAACCTTGGAGCAATCAATCGCCCTATTAACAAAGAATTTTAACCGAGTTCTCAAAAAGTTTAACAAGTCCAGGAATAAAATTTTTCCAAACAGCCAAGGAAATTCTACGAATCAAAAACCATCCAATCCAAAGAGAAGAGATAATACAATTACGGAAGGAATACAGTGCTATGAGTGCAAAGGCTTTGGACACATTCAATCAGAATGCGCCACATACTTGAAAAGGAAGAATAAAACATATATAACAACCCTGACTGATGACTCAGATAGTGAAGAAGATGACAGCAACACAAACTTTGTGGCCTTCACTGCCAGTCATGAAGACAACAATAGTGATGACATGCAAGAATTACTAGAAGCATACACTCAATTAAATGCCAAATGGGAACAGATCATCAAGAAAAACTTAGAGCTCATGTAAGATAATCATTATTTGAAAAATGAAAAGGAACGAATAGAAAAGCAATACGAGGAAACTCAACACGAACTGTTAGATGCAAAAACCAGAGAAGCTAAACTACTACAGGAAATTAAGGAGCTTACTGAAAGACCCAGGACTCCAAACACGGACACCAGTGAGAATAACCAACCTGAAATACAGGAAGTGTCGCAACAGCACTTCCGACATCGAAGAAGAATAAGGTGCTACTACTGTCACAAACTAGGACACATCAAAGCACATTGCTACAAGAGACAAAATGATTATTACTACAGACAAAACAACAGAGCATGGCCACCACACAACAGAAATAATAGCAAGAAAGCCTGGGGTAAGAAAAGACCAAAATGTTGCATACACCTCCAAAACAAACAAAGAGCATGATATATGGTATTTTGATAGCGGATGTTCCAGGCATATGACTGGAAATCCAGAGAATTTAGAGAACATACACTATAAGGATGAAGGATATGTTACCTTTGGAGATGGAGGAAAAGGAAAAATTGTTGCAAATGGAACTCTGAGTGTGCATGGACTGCCAAAACTGTCAAAAGTATTCCTAGTACAAGGGCTAAAAGCAAACTTGATTAGTATAAGTCAACTGTGTGAAGATGAACTTAAAGTGGAATTCACAAAAAATAGTTGCAACGTTCTTAATCAGAATCATGAATGTGTTATGGTCGGAAGAAAATCCACGAATAAATGCTACACATGGGACGGTGATCTATCTTGTCTACAAACAACCGTCAATCAAACACAATTATGGCACCAACGGATGGGTCACATAAACTTTCATGACATGAAAAAGGGTTTGAAGAAGGGAGCCTATTGAGGAGTCCCAACACTTGACATTGATGAAAACAAAAAATGTGATGTATGCCTTGAGAACAAAATAACCCGAACAGTCCATAAGAAGACCGCAGGAATACACACTTCTAGAATCCTAGAACTACTTCACATGGACTGATTTGGACCAACTCAGACAGAAAGCATAGGAGGAAAGAGATATGTCTATGTAACAGTTGATGACTACTCAAGATTCACATGGGTAAACTTTCTTAGAGAAAAATCTGAAGCATTTGCAACTTTCAAAACCCTCATTATCAAAATTCAGAATGAAAAAGAGGGAAGAATAGGAAAAATTATTCGCCTAAGAAGTGATCATGGAAGAGAGTTCGAGAATTCAAAATTCAAAGAATACTGCACAGAAAATGGAATTCATCATGAGTTCTCCGCACCAAAAACACCCCAACAAAATGGGGTAGTTGAACAAAAGAATCGAACCATCCAAGAAATGGCAAGAGTCCTCTTAAATCACAAAAGACTTCCATCAAAATTCTGGGCAGAAGCAGTTAACACAGCATGTTACTTGATAAACCGAGTATTCATTCGAAAAGAAATCAACATGACACCATATCAAATCTGGAAAGGAAGAACACCAAATTTAAAACACACACATGTGTTTGGAAGCAAATGCTATATTCTAAAAGATAGAGAACCATTGGGAAAGTTTGATATCAAAGGAGATGAAGGGATCTTCCTAGGATACTCCTCAAACAGCCGGGCATATCGAGTATATAACCTTAGGACAAACACTGTTATGGAATCTATCAATGTTGTGGTCAATGACACAACAGAAGATTTCCCCAAAAATGATGAAGAGATAACTGGTGTTGAAACAGCAGTTCCAACTTCACACAACTAGAAATCAGAACCAGAAACATTAGAAAAAGAAGAAGCTGTAGATCTTGAAGAAAAAGAAGAACCACACCGCTGATGAAACCAGGGTACAGAAAAACCATCCAATAGAGAACATCATAGGAGGACTAAATGAAGGAATCAGGATTAGAGGAAAGAAACGAGACTATCAAAAAATGGAAGAAGGAGACTATGACTACTGCTACACCTCAAAAACTGAACCCAAAAACATCACGGAAGCCCTAAAAGATGAATTTTGGGTAGAAGCCATGCAAGAAGAATTACAGCAATTCGAGAGACACAATGACTGGGAGTTAGTCCCTAAACCGGAACATGCCAATATCATAGGGACAAAATGGATTTACAAAAATAAAACGGATGAACAAGGAAACATCATATGTAACAAAGCCCGACTAGTAGCTCAAAGATACACTCAAGTAGAAGGAACAGACTTCGAGGAAACATTCACCCCAGTAGCCAGAATTGAATCAATCCGCTACTCATAGCAGTAGCTTGCATACTCAAGATAAAACTCTACCAAATAGATGTGAAAACTGCATTTCTGAATGGACATCTAAAAGAAGAGGTCTATGTTGCTCAACCAAAAGGATTTGAAGACCCCCATTTTCCACAAAGAGTTTTTAAACTTAACAAAGCACTATACGGACTAAAACAAGCACCACGGGCTTGGTACGAACGCCTCACTGATTTCCTAGTCAAAAAGGGTTACACAAGAGGTAGCGTGGACAAAACCCTATTCGTCAAACACTATGATCAAGACATAGTCATTGCCCAAATCTATGTTGATGACATAGTATTTGGCTCAACACTTGAGGTCCACAAAAACCAATTCATCATCAACATGGAAGGAGAATTTGAGATGAGCATGGTTGGGGAACTAACATACTTTCTTGGTCTACAAATCAGACAACTGGACAATGGAATCTTTATTTCTCAAAGCAAATATGCCAAAAATTTAGTCAAAAGATTCGGTCTAGAAGAAAGCAAAGTTGTCAGAACACCTGTTCCAACAACAGAGAGAATATCAAGGGATACGAAGGGAAAACCGGTTGAACAAACCCTATATCGAAGCATGATAGGAGGGTACCTGTATCTAACTGCTAGCAGACCAGATCTAAGCTTTGCAGTAGGAATTTGTGCAAGATACCAAGCCAATCCAACCGAGCAACATTTAAAAGCGGTCAAAAGAATCATTAAATACATGAAAGGGACATCCGATCTAGGAATATGGTATTCATTTGACACCAATCATCATCTCTCAGCTTATTGTGATGCTAATTGGGCAGGTAACATAGATGACAGAAAAAGTACGTCAGGAGGATGTTTTTTCCTAGGTACTAATCTAGTATCATGGATCAGCAAGAAACAAAGCTCTATTTCCCTATCAACAGCAGAGGCCGAATATATTGCAGCAGGAAGCTGTTGCACACAACTACTTTGGATGAAACAGATGCTAGAAGACTATGGAATGCAACAATCAACCATGACAATCTACTGTGACAATAAGAGCGCAATAGATATTTCAAAAAACCCAGTCCAACACTCAAGGACAAAACACATAGACATCAGACATCACTTCATAAGGGAATTAGTTGAAGATGAAATCATCAGTCTTACTCACATAAGTACAGAAAGACAACTAGCAGATATTTTAACCAAAGCTCTAGATGGGAATAGATACACAAAACTAAGAGCTGAAATGGGCCTGTGTATCCTATAATACTCACCAATTAAAAGAGAAACACATGGGCCCAATCCACAAAACAAGTCCGTCAACCCAAAACCGGCCCATGTCTGTACCATTACACCGCCCCTTCACAAAAGCCCAAACCCGGATCCATACCTCAGAAGCCCCAAATCCAAAACAGAGTCATCATTTTCACCCGATCCACTCAACTCCCACCTGAGAAATCACCATCCATCCTCAACCTTCATACAATAGTAACCATGGTGAGAACCAGAAATCAGAGAATGGGAAAGTTACCTCGAAGAGGAACAACCAATAGCACCTCAAAACACACCGGCACTGGAGAATCATCGAACCCTGTATGTGTCGAAGAAGAGAATTCCGCCAACATTGTGATGGATCCTGTTCCGATAGCTAGAGTACCATTCGGAAAACCCCAAGAACAAAGCACCAATCCTCCAGGTAACTCGAATCTCCCACTGATAGATCATGAGGAAACCCCTATACCCATGCCCATTGCGGCTGATTTCAGAGACAATAGGATCGTTGTTCTAAATGATATAGTGGTACAACTTCGGTTTTCCATAAACCAAGGCTGGGAACCGGATATGGGTTCCTATGTCAGCTCCGAACAAGAGGACAATCCAAGGGAATCAGAAGTTGAGGGACACACAGATCCTCACAATCACGAGGAAGTACATCCCTCAAGTCCTAACATTGATGAACAAACCGTAATTGAAGAAACCCCCAATCCAATTCCTCAGGTCTCCAAAAACCCTAGAAAGAGGAAAATGCCTGACCCATATGAAGGAGCTGATCCAAGGGCCAAAAGGCCAAGTGACTTCCCAGTACGTGCATGCCCTCCTCAAAGACCACCAAACATCCCACCGAAACCCACTAGAACCAAGAAACCAAGAAATCAAGAAATGTCAACACAGAGGATGAACAAAACTGGGTACCAAATGATGAAATTGAGCCCTCTGGCTGTGAGAAAATAAGAACCCGAGCCCAAAAGAAAACCAATCTAGAGAGAAAACAGCCACAAATCACCAAAGTGTCCATCAAAGCAAAGGGAAAACAAAAGGCAACTGCCAAAGAAAAAGGGAAACAGAAAGTAGTTAGCACTGATGATGACCTGTCAAACCTACCCAACCCACACAGTACAACCTTTCTAAGTAAAGAGTCTGGAAAATTATGGAATAGAATTGTGGAGAAAAGGATTATAAACCAAAAAATTCTGGACACAAACAAACTGGACAACTCAGAACAGATCCAAGAAGCCCTCATCACAAACCAACTCCTAGGAACAGTCACCAATATAGAACCTTATGATGAGGAAGTAATCCAGGAATTCTACTGTAACCTAACCAAATCCACCACAATTCCCAGTAGTCCTATGTATGGCAAAATATATGTGAGAGGGAAATTATATGAGTTCACACCAGACACAATTAACAACTACCTTGGAACATCTGAGATTGAGCAAGAAATTGAACTAAATAGTGAACAAGTAGCCAAGGAACTCACAGCAGGAAATGTTAGCTTTGAAAAGAACAAAATCAAAGCAGCTTCTCTTACCAGCAAGTATGCAATCCTACAGAAGATAGCCCTTGCAAACTGGATGCCCTCACTTCATGAATCCACAGTAAAATGGACCCTAGCAGAACTGCTGTACAAAATAGGAAAAGGAGTGAAAACCAACATGGGTTCAATCATTCATGCACAAATCACAAATCTAGCATAAGATACCAAATCCAACACCTCCCTAGTCTTTCCAAGCCTCATTTTTTCAATCCTGACAAAACAGGGCCTCAAGACTCAAGGATCCAAGACCACAGTCAAGAACTTCAACACAACTGTCAAACTAAGGAAGGGAAACCACCAAAATGATCTTAAATCCACAGCTCCAAATAACAACCCACTTGACTCAAAAACACTGATCACTTATTTTAAAGGCAGATTGACAGAATTGGAAGCCTCAGAAAAACAACTACTGAGAAGACACATGATCATCAAGGAAGAAAAAGCTGAAATAATAGAATGGCTGGCAGTATTAAAGGCAGAAATTGAAGATAACCAAGAGCAAGGAACAGAAGAAGATATTCAAGAACACTCTGAGGAATCAGAAAATGAAGATAATCAAAGTCAAAACCAAGGATCAGAAGAAGACATCCAAGAAAGAGGTGCTGAAACACCAGTTTCAACACCAGAACCAGGAGAAAGAGAATAACTCATGTTTTTAGCAAAAAAGGGGGAGAAACAGACAGACAACCACCTCATGTTGTGATTATGTATTGTGTATTGTCTACTGATAGGCAGACTTCTTTTTGCTGTTCCCTCTTTTGTGCACCAGAAGAATGATAGACAAGCAGAACAAGACCACCTTTTGCTTTCTTTTTCTGTGCTTACTGGCAGACTCAACTAGAAGAATCAAACAACAGGCAAATTTTTTTTTCAAAAAGTCAGACATAAGTACTAGGCAAATTCTCTTTTAAAAGAGTCAAATGATCACCCACATTTACTGCCGCAAATTAAGGGGGAGATCCACTGATTAAGGGGGAGACACCTCCACGTGTCAACTCTAGATTAATAAACAAAAGGGGATCAAGGTTTTTGCTAAAATTTGACAAAGGGGGAGAATGTTGACATAAGACATATTGTCAAATTCTAGTCAAACAAGGAATTCTTAATCAAACAAGACTTAGGAATTATATTCCTAATCTAAAGAGGATTGACAATCCTAATCCTATCTATACCTCGTCTCTTGACCTATAAAAGGAGCCGCTCCACAACTCATCAATCACGTTTTCAACACCTAACTGTGAGCACAAGAGTCCCTGAGAAGAGATACCCAAACCCCCTTGAAAAGTAGTACAAGTGTTTAGGTCACAATAGTTTGATAGGATCTCATATTGTGTAATCCCAGTTCCCTAAACCAAGTGTACTTTAAATATCGTGCTTTTAGTGGATTTAGGCAAATTCTCAACTCGAGAAGTGCCTCGCAGTTTAGGGTTGTTTGCCCAAACTGCGTTATAAATTAATTGTGTCACAACGCCTGTTTCAACGCCACAGAATCCATCATCTATATTAATTTCAAGAGTAATGGTACTGGCACCCGACCCAGATCATAAGCAGCATCTGACCCGTCGCCATATTTGACCCGGCACCACATGGAAACCCAACGGGCAAAATTCCAACGGGTGTCACCTTTACTGCCATTGATGCCACCATTGATGAGAGAGAATTAAAGGCTCAGCTCCCCATTTATGTCCCATGTTGTTACCGTTAGGACCTTGGTATAAACAGGACTCTCCTTAGCTAGCAAAGGGGACACTGTATTTCTATACTAAGACACTAAGGCAATACAACCATTGTACTTCCCACAACAATATTAGTCTCATAATAATATTCCCGGTAACATATTTACCGTCATTGGTGCTTTCATTGAGAGCTTGAGTCCAATACTCAAGCAGGCGACTATACACACAACTCATTCCCACTTTCAACAGCAAGCTTGAAAGAATGGCGTCCGGCAGCTCACATGGTTCCTGCAACTTGAACAACGGCAACGCCTCAGGTGACCTCCGAGACCAACTCACCAACAATCGTGGAGGGGACCTTCGAGAACAGCTCAATAACAGGAGGCCCGGTGACCTTCGAGAACAACTCAATAATGGAGGAACAAACCAAGTCGTAAACCTCCAAGCGACCGCCGATGCCATTCGGCAAGCAGCAACGACACTAACTCATGCAGTGGCGGGATTGCAGGGCCAAGTGCCCCCGCCGCGGCCCCAGGAAATAGAGGTAGAGTCCCAACGAAGGGTAGAAGTTCAGTGACAACATGACACAACCCGTGCGGCGAGGGACGTGGGACGTCATACCAGGACAGGTGGTCCAGAGGAGGGCGCCCAAAGAAGTGGACCGGCCAGACGATAACCAGGCCCTTCCTAATCTGCACCAAAACGATTGGGATAAAGGGCGCCCGTGCGTCAAAGATTAGGATAATAGGCCAAGGGGTCCTCTACCAGAGGCCCTCGCCAACACGAAAACAGAGAAGCAGAGAGATCACCCACAGAGAAGATGAGCGAGTCTCGGGAACCAACCCCACGCCGACACGTTGATGAGTCGGCCCTATGTCGACACTTGGATGAGCAGCGCGTCAATGAGCCGGCTCCACGGCGATACTCGGATGAGCGGCGCGTCGATGAGTCGTCTCCACGCCGACACTTGGAGGAGCAACGCGTCGAGGAGCCGGCTCCACGCCGATACTCGAATGAGTGGCACGTCGATGAGCCGGCTCCACGCCGACACATGGATGAGTCGGATCCGCGTCGTCGTTTTGATGAACCGGCCCCGTGCCGGCACCCTGAAGAGTCGGCCCTGGTCGAGAGGCTGCAAATAAGAATCGAGGAGTTAGCAAAGAAGGTGGAGGCACGGGAGTAATCGTCGGAACCCGAGGTACTGATGGCAGCACCGTTTTCCCCAAGTATAATGGATGTGCATATGCCGAGGGATTTTAGGTTGCCCGCCATCAAAGCATACACGGGGACCACCGACCCGCGTGTCCACATGACGAGATATAAGGCTGCTATGGTAATGATCGGGGCGGGGGATGCTGTCATGTGCCGAGCATTCTTGTCCACCTTGGATGGAGCAGCCCAAGACTGGTTCAACACTATCCCGGATGGATCGATACAAAATTTTGGAGAGTTATCCAAAAGCTTCCTGACATACTTCTCCAGTAGCATACAACGTAAGAAACCCTTCTCTCACCTCTGCGTAGTTAAGCAAGAAAGAGGCGAGACCCTAAAGGATTTCCTAAACAAATGGAAAAAGGAGGCCAATAATGTCTACGACTTTGACTCCAAGGCGGCGATCCCGATATTTACCCATGCCCTAAGATCAGGATATTTTCACAAGCAGCTGAACGCTCATCAACCTCGCTCTTACGAAGATTTGATGAGGACAGCTAACCGTTATGCAGAAGCAGAGGAGGTTGATAGGAAGAAGAAGGATGAAGAAGATGGTAGAAAGGCTGGGAAGCATTGGAAAGCTAGTCTACCCAGCCAGACACCACGCGCAAACCACTCGCCCGCAGGGAAAGACCGAGACCACGAGCGACCTCGCCTGGTCCCCCTACGTAACTTGACCCCGCTTACCCATCCTATCAGTGTCATTCTAAAGCAAGCTGAGGAGATGGGAATAGTAGAATTCCCTGAGGAGTTCATGAAGGTCTCTCCAAAGGCAGACCAAACAAAGTACTGCAGGTTTCATAGGCAAGCCGGCCACAATACGGATGAGTGTCAAGTTTTGAAGAGACAAATAGAAGAACTCATCCAACAGGGCTACTTCCGACATTTCTTCAAGAGATCCAAGCAGCAGCAACAGCCGCAACACAATCCACCATAAAATGTCTGGAAAAATGAGGATGGCACCGAGCCGTCCACCTCGAATGCCAAAAAAAGAGAACACGACCAAATATTTGAGAAAGATGATAGCGAGAAAGAAACCGAGGTGGCGCCCAGACGACAAAAGAAGCACACCATACACTTTATCTATGGTGGACCCGCGGGGGGCGACACGCCCGCGGGAAAGAAAGAAGTGGAGCCGGCAGCTACGTGGGAGAAGTGGTGAGTCTTCCCAGAGAAAAGAAACAGAGACGGGAGGCCATCACCTTCTCTGATGATGACCTCCCAGAGGGCCCGTTACCCCATCGTGACGCCTTGGTGATTAAGATGGACGTCAACGATGTCATTGTCCGCCGCATCTTAGTCGACACGGGAAGCTCAGTCAATGTGATGTATTATGATGCCTTCACCAAGTTAGGGATACCTAGAAACCAGCTCAAAGAGGTACGTACCCCACTCTCTAGATTTACGGGTGATTTAGTGGAGACGGAGGGGTCAGTGGTCTTACCAGTGGAGATAGGCACGAGCCCTAACTTTCGCAAACTTGACGTGGAATTCATCGTGGTAAGACTCACTTGTGCGCACAACATCATATTGGGGAGGTCGGCACTGGAGGACCTCAAGGCCATAGTGTCGGTGGAACACTTGTGTATGAAGTTCCCTACTCCGAATGGGATAGGAGTCGTCAGAGGAGACCAGCGAGTAACCCGCAGTTGTTACGTAAAAGCATGCAAAAAGATTGGCAGAAAGGACCTGCAAGTCCACACCATCTGCAAGGATGATCGATCGGGTATGGAACTCAGAACATTCAATAAGATATTATCAGTAATACTTTGTAGTCGTGATCCGCCCAGACCTATAAACAGTATTTAGTAATCATGGTCCGCCCAGGTTACTTCACTCAAAGTTATAATATTTTGTAATCATGGTCTACCCAGGTTACTTTGCTCAAATAAAAAGGTTCTCAATACCACATTCGATCAACCACGGTCGTCACTACACTTTATAGGAGATTTAAAAAAAAAAAAAAAAAAAAAAAAAAAAAAAAAAAAAAAAAACGGGCCGAGGCCACGCTCCTCGGCCAATGGCGGAGGCGGCGCCTCAGCCCAAAGTCTGGCCGATAAGTTGGGAAAATGGCTAATTTTTGGGTTTTGATAAGTCCTCGGTCACACCGGGTTATAAGGTGATACGTAGGAGTAAGGATGACACCACAAGTGAGGTTCCACACTTGATAAGTCAGATTTGCCATGACCAATTCACGACTGTATTGAGCTGGTTTCAAAGATCACCTGAGGTGTTGCCATTGCCGTTCAAGTTACGAGAACCGTGGGCGTCGTGGGAGTTGCTGGATCCTGAACTAGCCATCTTTTCCAAATGCGCAATGTATTTGCTTGAGATTTGACCTTTCCTCTCAATGAAAGCATCAATGACGGTAAATATGTTACCGGAGTATATTTGTATAAGTGAATTCAGACGATTGTATTGCCAAGTGTTTTAGTACAAGAATCAGAATGTGTCCCCCACTTTGTTACATGGGCTCAGCTTCTATAATAATCTAAACTTGTAACCGTTACAATAATTGCACAACGGCTACCTACTAAGTGCAACGGCTGACTCCTTAGTAAATTGAGGCACCCTCCTCCATTAAGTGTGCTGGTCGTTCCTAACTCCTCTTTTTGATGAGGCGGCGCTCTTAATGCGTGGTCTCTTGTAACTCTTCACATGTTCTTTGCTCTTAACCGTTAATGCTTGACTGTCATTAATGCATTGATGGGTTAGACCAAATGTAACGAGTCGGATTCAGTACCTTGCCCAATTATCC